TTTTTTTTTTTTTTTTTTTTTTTTTTGCAGCGTGCATTCGCAGACGCCTAGCAGACATGCCCAAATGCTCTTTTGCTTTCGCAACCACCCCATGGCACTGACAAAAACGCCGCCGCACGACTCGGCGCCAACGTTCTCTGGCCCGCCTTCCCTCCACGGCCACCAACTCGTTTACACCGAACAAACACACACCTTATTTCTGCGAGCCGTGCATCATATGTTTCTAGACTCTACCCTCAGGAACCATCCCAACCAGGCACAACACAACTAAATGCGCGTGAATTTCTCCCAAGCAAGAACAAGATGGACGCAACGCTTGATATTGCTTAACATAAGGTCCCCACCTCAAACAGTGAAGCACGTCCGCCGGCTTCACCGCAACTCATCTCCGGTGCAGTCACGTCTATGAAATCTTCCTGTTTCATGACGAAACCGCCCACGAACAGCGCTACCCCTGTAAATTCCATGGCGCAGAATACCCACTCAAGCCCTGAGCGCTGGCACGCTCCCAAAGCCAGACACCGCCTCTTCCAGGGCACTGACAAGCAAAGGCCTATTCCCTCATTGCCAGCCATTGAATCAGTCTGCAGCTCATGGCACCAACGTTGGCGACACCAAATGAACTGCACTTCATCTTCTAGTCCCGGGAATCCAAAAAATGACCATCACTTCGTCTTCACCTACCGACTGCATGCCATCGAGGAACTCTCGCATGCCGAACGAACCAATCGAAGAGGTCACACTCCACAAAAAACACCCTGCCTCCGCACAAACGACCAAGTGCGTATCGCCATCCTATTCACAGACACGTGATGCATTTCTCATTAGCCACAAGTTTCCCTGCAAGGCTTCGTGCAAGCTACCCTGTAATTCTACGCACATCTAAAACTGCCAGCAGCCTACGCGTTGCGGCTAGACCACTCGGACCTGTCGCTCCGTTCTTCTCCGCAGGTGCCACACACACAACCGCAATCTACTCCTTTCGCGACGGTGTGTGCACCTGTTCCTTTTGTGGCTGCGTGAATCTTGCATGCAGTGTGCCAAGCAATGCTGCATGCAGTCGAAGCCGTTGTGGCGCCGCTTCTCAACGCAAACACTTCAAACGTGCCTCCGTTGCACGCTTTTCGCAAAGCACTTCCAACACACCTTCTGCACGTTCGCCCAGGTTTTCAAAGCGCTTGGCTATGGTGTGTGCGAGGCAGGAAACAACACAATGCGCAGCACTCTCTTGACCCTGCCAACAAACGCTACTACTGCCAGATAGCCTCCAGGTGTGGCGAAACTCTTGCTCATTTGCCACAGAATAATACACCCCGATGGCTCAACACCAACTGCAATGTGAACGGCTTCGGAACAGCTATGCTCTTCGATGCGTCACTTCACGTTCCTCCTACTCACCGCGCCCAATACCAAACTCAATGACGAGAGTTGAGCGCTCGGTCTTTAGGCCGAGCGCTCACCACTCGTTGTTGAGTTTTGCGTCGCCTGACGCGTGCAGCGCACACCCCAAGCTTGCAGCGTGCATTCGCAGACGCCTAGCAGACATGCCCAAATGCCTTTTTGCTTTCGCAACCACCCGATGGCACTGACTAAAACGCCGCCGCACGACTCGGCGCCAACGTTCTCTGGCCCGCCTTCCCTTCGCGGCCACAAACTCGTTTACACCGAACAAACACACACCTTATTTCTGCGAGCCGTGCATCATATGTTTCTAGACTCTACCCTCAGGAACCATCCCAACCAGGCACAACACAACTAAATGCGCGTGAATTTCTCCCAAGCAAGAACAAGATGGACGCAACGCTTGATATTGCTTAACATAAGGTCCCCACCTCAAACAGTGAAGCACGTCCGCCGGCTTCACCGCAACTCATCTCCGGTGCAGTCACGTCTATGAAATCTTCCTGTTTCATGACGAAACCGCCCACGAACAGCGCTACCCCTGTAAATTCCATGGCGCAGAATACCCACTCAAGCCCTGAGCGCTGGCACGCTCCCAAAGCCAGACACCGCCTCTTCCAGGGCACTGACAAGCAAAGGCCTATTCCCTCATTGCCAGCCATTGAATCAGTCTGCAGCTCATGGCACCAACGTTGGCGACACCAAATGAACTGCACTTCATCTTCTAGTCCCGGGAATCCAAAAAATGACCATCACTTCGTCTTCACCTACCGACTGCATGCCATCGAGGAACTCTCGCATGCCGAACGAACAAATCGAAGAGGTCACACTCCACAAAAAACACCCTGCCTCCGCACAAACGACCAAGCTCGTATCGCCATCCTATTCACAGACACGTGATGCATTTCTCATTAGCCACAAGTTTCCCTGCAAGGCTTCGTGCAAGCTACCCTGTAATTCTACGCACATCTAAAACTGCCAGCAGCCTACGCGTTGCGGCTAGACCACTCGGACCTGTCGCACCGTTCTTCTCCGCAGGTGCCACACACACAACCGCAATCTACTCCTTTCGCGACGGTATGTGCACCTGTTCCTTTTGTGGCTGCGTGAATCTTGCATGCAGTGTGCCAAGCAATGCTGCATGCAGTCGAAGCCGTTGTGGCGCCGCTTCTCAACGCAAACACTTCAAACGTGCCTCCGTTTCACGCTTTTCGCAAAGCACTTCCAACACACCTCCTGCATGTTCGCCCAGGTTTTCAAAGCGCTTGGCTATGGTGTGTGCGAAGCAGGAAACAACACAATGCGCAGCACTCTCTTGAACCTGCCAACAAACGCTACTACTGCCAGATAGCCTCCAGGTGTGGCGAAACTCTTGCTCACTTGCCACAGAATAATACACCCCGATGGCTCAACACCAACTGCAATGTGAACGGCTTCGGAACAGCTATGCTCTTCGATGCGTCACTTCACGTTCCTCCTACTCACCGCGCCCAATACCAAACTCAATGACGAGACTTGAGCGCTCGGTCTTTAGGCCGAGCGCTCACCACTCGTTGTTGAGTTTTGCGTCGCCTGACGCGTGCAGCGCACACCCCAAGCTTGCAGCGTGCATTCGCAGACGCCTAGCAGACATGCCCAAATGCTCTTTTGCTTTCGCAACCACCCGATGGCACTGACAAAAACGCCGCCGCACGACTCGGCGCCAACGTTCTCTGGCCCGCCTTCCCTTCACGGCCACAAACTCGTTTACACCGAACAAACACACACCTTATTTCTGCGAGCCGTGCATCATATGTTTCTAGACTCTACCCTCAGGAACCATCCCAACCAGGCACAACACAACTAAATGCGCGTGAATTTCTCCCAAGCAAGAACAAGATGGACGCAACGCTTGATATTGCTTAACAGAAGGTCCCCACCTAAAACAGTGAAGCACGTCCGCCGGCTTCATCGCAGCTCATCTCCGGTGCAGTCACGTCTATGAAATCTTCCCGTTTCATGACGAAACCGCCCACGAACAGCGCTACCCCTGTAAATTCCATGGCGCAGAATACCCACTCAAGCCCTGAGCGCTGGCACGCTCCCAAAGCCAGACACCGCCTCTTCCAGGGCACTGACAAGCAAAGGCCTCTTCCCTCATTACCAAACTCAATGACGAGACTTGAGGAGACTTGAGCGCTCGGTCTTTAGGCCGAGCGCTCACCACTCGTTGTTGAGTTTTGCGTCGCCTGACGCGTGCAACGCACACCCCAAGCTTGCAGCGTGCATTCGCAGACGCCTAGCAGACATGCCCAAATGCTCTTTTGCTTTCGCAACCACCCGATGGCACTGACAAAAACGCCGCCGCACGACTCGGCGCCAACGTTCTCTGGCCCGCCTTCCCTTCACGGCCACAAACTCGTTTACACCGAACAAACACACACCTTATTTCTGCGAGCCGTGCATCATATGTTTCTAGACTCTACCCTCAGGAACCATCCCAACCAGGCACAACACAACTAAATGCGCGTGAATTTCTCCCAAGCAAGAACAAGATGGACGCAACGCTTGATATTGCTTAACATAAGGTCCCCACCTCAAACAGTGAAGCACGTCCGCCGGCTTCACCGCAACTCATCTCCGGTGCAGTCACGTCAATGAAATCTTCCCGTTTCATGACGAAACCGCCCACGAACAGCGCTACCCCTGTAAATTCCATGGCGCAGAATACCCACTCAAGCCCTGAGCGCTGGCACGCTCCCAAAGCCAGACACCGCCTCTTCCAGGGCACTGACAAGCAAAGGCCTTTTCCCTCATTGCCAGCCATTGAATCAGTCTGCAGCTCATGGCACCAACGTTGGCGACACCAAATGAACTGCACTTCATCTTCTAGTCCCGGGAATCCAAAAAATGACCATCACTTCGTCTTCACCTACCGACTGCATGCCATCGAGGAACTCTCGCATGCCGAACGAACAAATCGAAGAGGTCACACTCCACAAAAAACACCCTGCCTCCGCACAAACGACCAAGTGCGTATCGCCATCCTATTCACAGACACGTGATGCATTTCTCATTAGCCACAAGTTTCCCTGCAAGGCTTCGTGCAAGCTACCCTGTAATTCTACGCACATCTAAAACTGCTAGCAGCCTACGCGTTGCGGCTAGACCACTCGGACCTGTCGCTCCGTTCTTCTCCGCAGGTGCCACACACACAACCGCAATCTACTCCTTTCGCGACGGTGTGTGCACCTGTTCCTTTTGTGGCTGCGTGAATCTTGCATGCAGTGTGCCAAGCAATGCTGCATGCAGTCGAAGCCGTTGTGGCGCCGCTTCTCAACGCAAACACTTCAAACGTGCCTCCGTTTCACGCTTTTCGCAAAGCACTTCCAACACACCTTCTGCACGTTCGCCCAGGTTTTCAAAGCGCTTGGCTATGGTGTGTGCGAGGCAGGAAACAACACAATGCGCAGCACTCTCTTGACCCTGCCAACAAACGCTACTACTGCCAGATAGCCTCCAGGTGTGGCGAAACTCTTGCTCACTTGCCACAGAATAATACACCCCGATGGCTCAACACCAACTGCAATGTGAACGGCTTCGGAACAGCTATGCTCTTCGATGCGTCACTTCACGTTCCTCCTACTCACCGCGCCCAATACCAAACTCAATGACGAGACTTGAGCGCTCGGTCTTTAAGCCGAGCGCTCACCACTCGTTGTTGAGTTTTGCGTCGCCTGACGCGTGCAGCGCACACCCCAAGCTTGCAGCGTGCATTCGCAGACGCCTAGCAGACATGCCCAAATGCTCTTTTGCTTTCGCAACCACCCGATGGCACTGACAAAAACGCCGCCGCACGACTCGGCGCCAACGTTCTCTGGCCCGCCTTCCCTTCACGGCCACAAACTCGTTTACACCGAACAAACACACACCTTATTTCTGCGAGCCGTGCATCATATGTTTCTAGACTCTACCCTCAGGAACCATCCCAACCAGGCACAACACAACTAAATGCGCGTGAATTTCTCCCAAGCAAGAACAAGATGGACGCAACGCTTGATATTGCTTAACATAAGGTCCCCACCTCAAACAGTGAAGCACGTCCGCCGGCTTCACCGCAACTCATCTCCGGTGCAGTCACGTCTATGAAATCTTCCCGTTTCATGACGAAACCGCCCACGAACAGCGCTACCCCTGTAAATTCCATGGCGCAGAATACCCACTCAAGCCCTGAGCGCTGGCACGCTCCCAAAGCCAGACACCGCCTCTTCCAGGGCACTGACAAGCAAAGGCCTATTCCCTCATTGCCAGCCATTGAATCAGTCTGCAGGTCATGGCACCAACGTTGGCGACACCAAATGAACTGCACTT